GCTTCGGCTGAGGTTTCGCCTCACCATGAGGCCGCGTCAAGGGAAGGCGGTGGCGGTGATGGGGGGGAGAACGTTGCTGGACAGCCGACTGCCAGGTCCAGTAAGGGACCTGCGTCGAAGTCCGCCGGAATCCAGGGTACATCGACTGAGGCACCGGGCGTAAGTGGAGACCACGTTGTCCTTAATGAGTCGAAGTCCGCCCGGATCCGGAGTTCTTCAGAAACGGCTCCACATGCAAGGATTATCGTGCTCACGGGAGGGGCTACGCACGTGGGGGCAGAAGAGCGGGCCGCAGGATTCGACATGGTTTTGGGAGAATTTCGTGAATGATATGGGAGGGACGGAGGGGAAAAAGGGGGAAAATGGGAAGAAGGGGAGGAAGGAGAGAGGAAGGGGGTGAAAAAGGGGATATCGATATTAAAGGCGACGAACCGCTGGGCAATGAGGAGGATGCCGACTGTGAGGAGTCGTCTGACTCGTTCGGGCAGCTTTACGCGGGCCATCCGAGGCCTGACGTCGACGACGATGAGACAACAATGGAGATGGAGACGCAGGTGGTCAGTGACCTATCAGCAGACCCTAAAGCTTATGAGGTTCAACCGCTGACAGCTACAGTCGATCTCCAAGACTGTTGCGATGAGGTTTCCGCTGTTGTGAGCCCGGCTCAACGAAGTCAACAATTGAGCGTCATTGAAGTTATCGATGGGATAATCGGCGACGAGCAGGTGCCCGGGCAACGGTCTGCAGCGCCTGTCCCGGACGACCGCCACAACGTCACACCTTCCGTGCCCTCTACCACCATTTTCTCACCACCCACCTCTCCAATACTGACCGTCACCTTAGCCAGCGGCCGGGATGGCGATCTCGAGGGCCGGCAACATGTCACGTCCCCGAAAAGATCTAGGGTCGGCACTCAAGCTCTCGACGTGTTGGGCTTGCCCGCGCCAACGTCGCCGACGAAGGACCGAAGGGATAAAGCAGTTGGTAAGCAGTGATGAACGCCTCGTCGTACACTCTCCCCGCCTAAGAACATGGCCAACTTAATTGAATGGCGGTTTTTCTCTTCATGCACGGAGCCGTGGCTTAAGTCCGTCGTGATCCGCACTTCCTATGTCGATGCGTGAGATGGTTAGTCTTTGTGCACCTACCGTGGGAAGAAGTCCGTCGAAATCCGAGCTTCGGGGAATGTTAGCGTTTCGCTTTTGTGGCTTGTTGTTGTTTTCCTTTGTTAAGGTCGGGGTCTTAAGCTCGATTGCCCTTGTCCTATTGTTCTCCAGCAGCACACACACAACTCCGTGCACATGGCCATGCAAATTCGGACTTCTCTCATTGGAGAGGTCCTGTGTCTTGTGGGTTATGTGATTCTTTTACATTGTCACTTTCGTCGGACTCGTGTTGGGTAACGTGTATTCATTTTCTGTTTTGTCTTTCTTTTGTTGTACAGGGGTAGGGTCATCTCGAGCACTGATATCCTCGAAATATCCGGAACACATATTGCAGAAAGCCACTCGGTTGACCACAAAACACAAGGATATGCTAAAGGCATTAGGGGTTGATGTCGAGATCGGGAAGAAATAGCATGCAATTGCCATTGAGGAGTGTCTTTCCCTTCTGCCCCAGAGAAAGGGACATATCCGCGATCTTTGAGTAGGGGTCAGGCCATGTATGAACAATACTTAGCAAAGCATCGTGCAATGAAGGACAATGCTCAGACACTCCGTTTCTCACTGCCCCACGTGTTCTTCGCTCGATGTTGTGCAGCGCGGGCCACAACGCGTGAAACAAACGGGGGAAGATTCGTTGCAGCGACTACGCCTACCAGGTTGCGGGTTTTGGACGACATTGGACGAGGTTTGGTGTCGCCTCACACTGTTCTCTCTATCCTCGGTGGTTCTTAGTTGTGAATTGCGGCAAAAGATCTTCTCACCCCCTTGCATATCGACGGCAGAGTGAATGATGAGGTGGTCAATTTTTACATGGTGTTGTCAAGCGCATCGGTCCGACACCGCATAGGGCAGCGCGGGACCCACCCGGCCGCGTCACGCAGGAGTTGGAGTAAATCCTCGTCCCGGATATACATGAAGCTTCCGCAAGCCGCTCCAGCCAAGTGCGCCAGCCATACCTCTCGTGAGCCCCTACGACAGGATAGGGCCTACGCGAGGCACGACTTACCTCCACCTTACAGGAGTTGTCACCTCCCTTCGGTGGGCGTATCCCCTCCGAGCTACCGGTCGACAGTACAAAAGCTAATCAGTTGCAATCGCAAAGGTGGACCAGCCGAGGGCGTTTCTCGTCCTCTATCGGACCCGCACGCGGACCGACATCTTGGGGGTTGAGGTCCCAAGCGCGACTCGTCGTCAGTCGACTAGGACAAATCCCACACAGCACACGCACACCACTATAAAGAACATAAAAATAAAAACACACGCACATACGCATACATATACAGAATGACAGAGAACAAACGACAGAGAACAAACGACAGAGAACAAACGACGCGACAATGCTCCTAGTCCCTTAGTAGTCATCCCATAACTCTCTGGTGCAGAAATCGAATAGGCGTCACGCGCGAGACTTCGTATAAAACCGCGCGGGCATGAGGCCTACTCATATCGACTCGCAAATACAAGCGTACGCAAGCGGTCGCAATGATGGCGTACTATGTAGCGCCCATACTCATGCGGTCCCCGTTCGTCTCAGGGGTCGCATTTGACACTCAAGTGTCAGCTGACACGCGCCTGGAGGGTTAATCTCTCGACGTTGGACAACCGCTAAGTGCGGTTGAGAACCACACCCTCTTCTGCACCCTGCGGAGAGTGGGTGGTACACAGGTTCATACCTGTGGTGGCAATCGTCTCTTATCGCCCCAGAGACCAGCTACATCATCCAGGGTCTGGAAAGAAGTCAAGGGGTTTGACTCTGACGGTTGTCACGGACTACAACGTCCAACTATCAAAATCAATAAGCAAAATCACTAAGTAAATAAATAAACATCCCAACAATCATATATCAAATCAAAATTCGCCATAAAGTAAACGAAGGGGAAACATAAATCCATCAGGTATGCAGATCGTGCGACACATGGTTGTCATTCTCATTGCCTCCAAAGTAAGACTCGTATACCAAACTCCAAAATACTAACCTGCATAAAACACAGGCACACACAATAGCCACATTGCCATACACCAATGTGGTCAACTTTACTGTTCCCTGTAACTCACACCATGCTTCATACAGTCAAGCCCCAGTCACAATCCAATTTTTCATATATCTCGTAAGTTCTTTATACTGGCCATTTAAAAAAAGTCTGGTTAAAACCCGCAAAGAAACATATCAATTTGAGGTGCAAGTGTAAGCAAAGTTGTGTCGTGAGCCGACAAGTCGGCGATCAACCAACCGACCTGTTATCAGTGATAATAGAAGATGACCCTCGTAGGATCAAGCTGAATCTAGTCCAAATCCTGAATCGAATGTTCAAAGAAGACCTGTATCATGCGACAGGTCAACGTCCAAGCTAGGTCGTCAATGTATGGAGATCAAACCCCCATGACACACTCTCACTCTAGACTCTCCTGACAGCCAAGCCTAGGTCTATCTCTAAGCCAGTGCTTAAAGAAAGGTAGACCTATCGCAGCATTTCTCTCATACAGAGTGGATCGCCAAAGCCGCCACCTTTCAAAATATAATCTATCTCCAACCAAGATTTATACAAGACCAAGTATAATAAATGATCCCAGAAAATGCAGAAATCGACCTAAGTAAAAATAAACAGACCAGGAAATGCAGAAATTGTAACTAACTCCTTTGGCTCTAGCACATGGCGAGTAAATAAAGCAACTACCTATCAAATTGAAATTAAGACTAAGTAGTGGTCGCACTCATGCAGGCCAAACCAAAAAGGTGGCATGGGTTATCTGGCCGGATAATCTGGTCGGACTATCTGGCCGGATGATCGGGGGGTAGGATCATCCGGAAATCCGGATGATAAAAAAAAAACCCAAAAAAAAAAA